CTGTTCTGTTGTTCGTCAACGGTGACGGACGGGAGGGTTGCTGGTCGTAGGCCGAGGAAGCAAGGGATACACTCGCCTTGTCGCGCTGCTTACCGGCCGTCGAACCGCCCGAGAGCGGTCAGACGAGCCGTCTCCTTTGATCCCTTTGCTAGCCTCGGAACGAGCCCTACGCCCGACTCGTCCTCCGTTCTACGCATGCCAGGGATTCTGCAACAGTCAGAAGATACCGTCGTCATTTTGATGTACGTTACACACACATGGCACCTTAGTATCCAGTCTACTAAATATCCCGCGAACATACACATGCACACGCACACATTGAACATGATTGATCTGGCCATGGTATTTCCGTTCGTACGCACAATCGAAAGCTTCATCCCGTCGAGAAGCTCGATAGTCTTCGAATAATTAGCGAGTGAAGAGTCCAAGACTCATCTCACGAGATTAACATATTCCGAGGGCAAGACGCGAAAATTGTTTGCGTCCGTCAAAGCGCGCTCTTTCCCCGATAGCGTTTTCACTTCAGGATATCATAGAGTATTAAGGTCATTCTACAATACATGTCGTAAGTTGTAAGCCGTAAGAACTGACCAATTATAGCCGATTATTTTTGTAATAATCGACTGTGATTCGCCAATTCTTACGGCTTACAACTTACGACACGTATTGTAGAATGATCTTTATAGGATATTAGTACAAGATATTATTAAGAAAATCGAATAAAGTTTAGCTTTTGAGTTGATGAAACTGTGTATTTTATACATTTGTTTTCCACGTTCCGTGAACATTATTGGTTTTACTTCACCAGGAAGAGGAGCAACTTGAATATAAATGTTACTAGCCGGTCTGAGCCTACAGCTAATAAATAATAATAGGCTATATTCAATTTTTAGCTTGTTACTAGCTCGATATTATTTAAGTATTCATTAAAATTGATTCAATGATCTAGCCATTGTCTAGGCATTTCATATCAAATATGATGGTTGGCACTATTTATTTTAAAATATATTGGGTTTGGGAAGAAGTTCGTGGCGTTTTTTTAGTAAAATTCAACTGGTTTTCTTATAGTGTGAAAATGAAATTTATTTAAACCAAATATGCTCCATTATTATCGATAATGTTTCGCTATTTTTCGGGTAGAGCCATGATGCCATCGGTGAAGAATTTGTATGGTTTCTGGTTGAAAAACTGAATCAAATGGTTTTTACAGGCTTCTTTTGAAACCAGCTTAATTCCATTGAGAGAGTTCTGCAGAGATCGGAACAAGTGATAGTCAGAGGGTGCTATGTCTGAACTATACGGTGGATGCATCAAAACTTTCCAACCAAGCTCTCGCAATTTTTGACGGGTCATCAAAGAAGTGTGTGGTCGGGCGTTGTTATGATGGAAGACAACACCTTTCCTATTATTCAATTCGGGCCGTTTTCTTTCAAATTCTTTCTTGCCTGGTGTAATCTCTCTAGTTGTCCACAGCAGAGTTGAGAATCAATCATCTGACCAACTGGAAGTAGCTCATAGTGGACGATTCCCTTCCAGTCCTACCACACACACAGCATCACCTTTTTCGGCGTCAATCCTGGCTTCGCGAACGCTTGTGACGGCTCACCATCCCTTATTCACGATCTTTTACGCTTCTGATTGTCATACGTGATTCATTTTTCATCACCGGTTATGACATTTTCAGAAATGGCTCAATTTCATTGCGTTTCAGCAGCATATCGCAGATGTTAATTCGGTCTATCATATTTTTCACGCTCAACTCATGAGGAACCCATACGTCGACCTTCTTTTTGTAGCCAGCTTTGTGTAAATGGTTCAAAACAGTTTTGTGGTCAATGCCTAGCTCCATACCAATATCGACACTGCTGATATGCTTATCTTGCTGGACTTTTTCAAGAATTTCATCAGCTTTTTCAGTGATTGAACGACCAGAGCGTGACTCATCTTTCATATCAAAATTACCAGAACGAAAGCGAGCGAACCATTTCCGCGCAGCAGATTTTGATAAAGTACCTTTACCGTGCATAGCATAAATTTTTTCACAAGCCTGCGCAGCGTTCTTCCCATTGTCGTAATAATATTGCAAAATATAGCGCAATTTTTCATCACTTTTCTCCATTTTTAAACGCAAACAACTTTCCAACCACTGCACCAATTTCGATGTTTATACACTCAAAGTAACGCTCGAAGTGTCATCTTTCCAACGAGCGTTTAGTGGTGTCGCTGCGATCTGTGTTTCCTGAGTTATTTGCAATTGACGCCATCTATCGGGAAAAACGCCACGAACTTTTTCCCAGACCCAATATAATCTAGCTATTGTATATCCTCTCTCCTCCGTCACTAACATTTTAAAATTAGGTAGCAAATCAAGACTGAGGTTACGATTATCACAAAAAAATTTTTTAAATTAGAAGCAAGTAGTTCACAACATTACTGGCTGCAAATTACTTATGATTTTTCATCTCATAACTGTAATTTCTTTCGCAGTCGACTATCAGCTGATCCAGCTTATCTAGCTATCAGGAGAAGTGAACGTTATACATTACTGGCTAAAAGCAATGTTAAATGCAAATTTACTACTTTGTGGCTAGAGACATTCACGAAATCAATTCAATATTTGTTGGGGATAAATCCTCCGTTTGTCTCTACTAAGAGATTGTCAATATAGTATATAGTAAATTATAAATTATAAATTATAAATTGTTGCGAGAATAGTCACGAGAAATCGTCCAGAGCTGTTAGTCTCTAATAGTACCTTGTAGATACTGTAGTTTTCCGCGTATACCAATTTCATGTTAATCGGAATCTTTTATATTTACCTTGCACGCGAAACGCTCCGACTATACATTTGGCATAAATTTGGTCAGCAATAAACGGTATATTCGGATTCTTGGAGACAATGCCAAGGGATATCATCTGCCCGAGTGCAATAAAGCCTATTGCATTACCCTCTGCATTATTTCGTCCCCTGCATCCCCTAGCATCCCTCATCGTAAAAGCCGCGTGTCTCTGGCGATGTCTCTCACCCTTCCCTTCACTCCTCCTCCACCTACGAAGCTCGTTCTACACGCCTCCGCACGCTCTATTTCACTTTTGCCTGTACCATCTCGCTCAGGGTATAACCTGTTTTTAAACTTAAATTATGCTAGCAACAACATCTCGCAGTGGGAAAACATAAAAACGTTGTGTAACGACAGTCGATTGCGACAAAATCGTTACAATAACGATATTCGCAGAATGTTTGTTTAAACGGTAATATTTGT